TTATCCGCTTATACCTAAATACAGTATGTATGTTTGCATAAGAATTTAATATCTCGTAATGACGTCGAGAATATTTGGCCCATAATTGCAATATTTTCTCAGTTTTAAGTATATTGAAATGTACTATATTATACTATATATTATATTTATACTATATCATATATACTATATTATGCTATACTATATAATATATACTATATAATATATATAATTTATACTATATAGTATATACTATATTATACTATATTATACTATATTTATACTATATACTATATTTATACTTTATTATACTGTATACTATATTATACTACATATTATATTTATACTATATATTATATACTATATACTATACTATTATATTATACTATATACGATATTTATACTATATTATATTTTATACCATATACTGTATTTATATTATATTTTATACTATATACTGTATTTATACTATATTATATTTTATACTATATTTGAAGTATATTGAAATATAGTATAAAACAAGGCAAAACAAATAATAAATTTATTACTTCTTAGTAATTTCTATCCAGTGATACACCGAATTATTGTACACGGTTTGGTCACTTGTTATGGTCCCTGAACCAGCTGCTAGCGCACCATGTTAATTGTGTTGTTAGATGCAAGAAGGATCTCATCGTCTCAGTTTCATTTAAAATTGAAATATTTCTTATATATAACGATTATAAATTATTGTAAGACCGTTGACTAAAAAATTCAATATTTTTAAGAGTTCCATTAACACAATTTGCATCCAACTTAAAATACTAAAATAAAATATAAAGAAATATATGAAAGTTTTATAAATTTTGCATTTTATATAAAATACTAATATGCGCTTTATTCGAAATGGAATCAAAGCCCGAAGTATATACGTACATACTTCTTGCATTCAACAGTACAATTTCTAAATAAAACGATAGACGAAAGATGGCACCTGGTATGTAGTTCTATGAAATTTGTTAATTGGCCAACTTAACGATAAACAATTGCGGACGACAAGTCTTTGTTTCTCAAGGAACGTTTCGCTCGTGAGGAGAATTCTTGTTTCACCTCACGCGTGACAGCACGATGTCGTCAGATTAAAAAAATTCTTCGTCGATCCTTTGAAAAATGTAAAAGTATCAAACGAGTACGAGCGGTGTTAAAATTTCCAAGATATTGGACATGAACGGAATCAGGGCGTTTGTTAGACGACCCTCGATACCGGCTTTTAGGAGCTCCTCGCTGGTATCGTACCTAATTAAAACATAAATAAATAGTAGATATATAAATATAAATATAAATATATCTATTATAAATATGTATATTATGAATATATTTATTATATAAATATACAATAGATATATAACTAAAAAATATATATATAAATAAAAATAAATATGATATATTATGATAAATATAAAGTAAATATGATATATATTATATATTTATATAATAGATATATAACTAAAATATATATATATAAATAAAATATAAATATAAATATATCTATTATAAATATGTATATTATGAATATATTATATAAATATATAATAGATATATAACTAAAATATATATATATATATATAAAATATATACAAATAAAATATAAATATATATAAAATTTATATATAAATAAAATATAAATAAATAATAGACATATAAATAAAAAATTGATTGACTCCTGGCCTTTTGTCAGTTTCTCAATTTCTCATTACACAATTCTCTCTCAAAAAAAGAAATGAGTCGTATACCTCGTTGAAGGGGACGATACAAACTCTATAGATAACTTCACGAAATATAGCACTTACTTGCAACTCGTCGTCGTCGTCGCGGTCAATTTTTTTATGGATTACATTTGATCGACGAGAGACTCGTCGTGGATCCTCGCGAGAGGATCTGTTCGCGAAATTCAGAAAGGAAGAAGAAGAAGAAGAAGAAAAAGAAAAAAAAAAAAATGTATCCGTTTCGTTCAGAAGGCGCACAGCACGAACACGAGCGTGACGGGGAAAACATGGGAACCGTTTCGATCGATGCTCGATCAGTGGACGCAAGTGAAAGGCGAGTCCAGCTGGGTGGAAGTTCTCATGCCGCGAGATCCTCGAACCAAGGCCCTGAGCCGGATGAATCGGACGCCGTCGGCAACGGGGGCCGTGTTCGGGGTGCGTTGTACCCGACCTCGGCCGAGGATCAGGAGGGAAATGGTCGACAATTTCCGCCGGAGGACGGTGAACTTCGTGGTCAAATATTGAAGCTCAGCTGCCCGAAAGGGAAGCGGAACAAGTCTGGGAAGAAATCCGCTCGTTGCAAACGTCGCGTCACGTTCGCCTTGTAAAACCTTGTAAATTTCATCTTGGTATTTCTGGTATCTCGATGGGGGATCAATAAACAAGGATAAAAAGGATAAAATTGTAATTGTCATT